GCGAGCCTTACAAGCTGAGTATTTTAGTACTCGAGCTCGGCTCGATAAGGTACTCGAGTAGCTCGAGCTCGGCTCGATTAAGGCCGAGTCGATTTCGAGTATTTTCCGAGTCGGTCTCAAGTTTCTTACGAGTTGGTTTGTCTCACTTACACCTACCAAATACCCTGTAGTCTTTTTGTTCTTAAAAAAAAATGCAATCACCTCCCCGATAAAAATTCCCCTAAAATGGTGCCACGATGAATCGTCAGAGCATGCGATGATGTGACCGACGTAAGCGATGGAGAGTGGCTGGAGGTCATTTCCACCTGCTTTTGGTACAATCTCAGCCGTCTCTCACCCTATGACGTCTCGCTGACTCATTCTCTGCTGCAGTCTCTCTCTCCCCTCGACGTCTCAACTAAATCCACGGGAATCACCCTCTCCAATCTCCATTCGATCCTTGTGTAGCAACAGAGGGGCGGATTTTTCTGCGCTTGAGCGTCTTAAGGGGTAAGTATTCATTTCGTACAACTAATCAATACCTCTCTGCAATTGCGTTGTAGTATTGATGGATTAACATGGGTTTAAAACAAAGTTATTATCTGTTATGCTTACGGATTGAAATTAGGTTACAAAACTCATTGACGGATTTAGGGTTTTGCAATTTCTATGATTGATTCTCATTTTGTTTATTCGCTACAGAAATTTGCTAAATTTTATTTCTTTTCGTGTATATAATCGTTTGGAGCGGTTGAATTAGATAAACATGCATAACCTAGAAAAGACCTAACCAACAGAACGACCCATTGTAGAAACTCAATAAACGGAGCTACCTTAAATTTGAATACATAATGCATAACCCTAATGAAAATGACTAATTGATTGTACATTGTTCAAAGGGGCAGATCAAATGGTGTCATTAGGGTTTACATAGATAGAGCAGATGATGACACCAAGGTCATAGAGGTAGTAAACAAAAGCCTGTGACACTGGAGATAAAGTTTTGGGAGTTGAGAAATCGGAAGAAGCTAGGGAAAGAAATATGCATAAAAACTAGTAAAATTATATATAAAATGGAATTATAGGAGGTACATAGTAGATATAGAAAGATTGCATTATGCTTTAACTATGTCATGCAGATTGAACACAATATAGATACTTAAAACAACAACATTTTGTGGATTTTTCATATCATGTTGATTCTTACATTTAAAAAAAGAATTGGTCTGCACCCTACCCAACCCCATCTCTTCCATAGGCACCACAAAATTTGATTTATGTGTAACTACCACATTAAAATCTATCATCCCACTTTCAATTCTCTATTCTTATGTTTGTAGCTTATCCAACTTTTTTTTTATGTTATAGTTTGATTGGCTATAATGTGACTAATTTGCTTTCTATTGCAGCTATTCTTGATCACATCATCAAGGTAGGATGAATTGTTGCTTATCTTTGACATTACATTATTGGAGCTACTTATAATTGTTATTCTGAATCTAAAGGGTTCAATTTGTAACTTTTGTAGGCACAATAATGGCATTGCGAGAAAAGGGTAAGTGATTAAAACCTTTCATCTGTATGCTCATCATCTATTATAATCACAATTGTAATATAATAGATGATGACAACGTGTGTTCATTATGAATGAAGAGTAGGGCCCTACTCACAATTAGGGATCTAGGTAAAGTACCCTTAACAAGTAAATAGATATAATAATTCTTCTTAATCACCATGTTATTTGCAAGTGAATCATATAACAACAAATATCAATAAAAAGTTGATATTGAAATTGACTAAACAAATGTCCTAGCAGCCATTAGATAGCTATTAGCCAAGTTCTTGAATTGTGAAAACTACTGTCATTTCATGTCTTTTCCATCTTTCTTTCTTTCTTTCTTTCTTTCTTTCTTTATGCTACATTTAGATTCAATATTTTGTATAGTTATACTTTGATAGTTGCCTTTTTCCTTCCTTTTTCTTCTTTAATGGCATATTTTGAACTCTATGTTGCCCAAATTATCTTACTTGAATAGTTGACATGCTTTGTTTATTACATATACTGATATACCTTTTTATAACATACTATATTTGTACTCTTTCTAATTTTTATGATACCACAATAAAAAAATCGAAACAAATTGTTACACGTATATGGTAAAAAACGATAATCCTCGCTCACTACAACATCTTGACGATGTTTTCTGACAAGATATTTTTTTCAAAGAAGTCATTACGCCACATGTTTTTTCTTATATTTTATATTTTATCTTTCAAATATATCTCAATATCTACTTGGTTTTCAATCCACTATTGACCAGGGTGTCAAGACAGTTGACCCCATTTTACTCTACTTTGATTTTATGTAGTTTTTACAGGACCTCATGAAGATGATTGGCAGGGTATGTGAGGTTTATAGTAAATGTAGTAATGAGATGCAAGTTTCTATTACTTCTTTAGATATATATTATAATGTGATAAAAATTGTTCTTTTCCTTGTTGGCCTAAATTATCTTTTCTAGTTGATGATTCTTTCACTGATCTTCGATTTTCAGTCCTCAAAAAGAAAGCAGAGAAGTTTGAATTGAAAGAATTAGAGAGGATTATACCAAATCGAGGCAAATTACTTGTCCTTGAAAAACTACTTAATGAAGCCTATTTAATTCGTAGGCCAAAACCAAGTGAATATGAACATCGAAAGCAACTAATTCGAGTTTTTAATGAAATAGCAAGGGAATTATATGGTAAATCCCCACTCACATTCTCTACTATTTACATTTTACATTCAAGATTTCCTATTTCATTTCTTTCTAATACAATATTCTACTTCCTGTTTTTTTCTTTATTAACTATTTTCTTATTATAGCAGTTGTAGTTGCTTAGTATTTGTATGACATTGCTATAATTGGTTATATTTTTCAAAGTAGAATGCTTTAAGATGCTATAAGAAACAAAATGGAAGTAGATTGTTGTTATTTCTTGCAAACCCTTTTTAGATTGAAGTTAAGTTTATGGTTTAACACAGAGTGGATTATTTGTTTCTGATTCAGGTAATTCTTCTGGTTGTCCTGTTGTTGAAGAATTCGGTTCTTTTTCAATGGATCTTTTTACTACTGGAAGTGACTTAGATCTCTCAGTCAACTTCAAAAACAAAAACAGTAGTCAATCAGTGTTCCCTCGAGATCAGAAAATTAAAGCACTTAGGAAGTTTGCAAGAAAGTTTTATGCACTTCAAAGTACACTTTTTACTTATATACCATTTTTTATTTATTAAGTTTTTAGTTTCTATTTACACAATCATGTATATGTCTGATTTTGTTTAATGACCATTTTGCCCTTTAGCTGGAGGTCATGTACGAGGTGTTCAGCCTGTTCTGTCTGCTAAGGTGCCTATCCTTAAAGTTATTGATGCTGGAAGTGGTGTTGAATGTGACCTTTCAGTTGAAAATAGAGATGGAATTTCAAAGTCAGCTATAATTCGATTAATTACTTCAATAGATGAAAGGTTCCAAAAGCTAAGTTTCTTGGTAAGCTTATTTAATCTGCTACATGGATTAAAAATTATTCTAGTAAATAGAAGGTTTTAATACCTTGAAATTGTAGCTTATTAATATGTATTATGGATACTAATGATAAAATGTATCTATGCAGATGAAAGCATGGGCAAAAGCACATGATATTAACAGTTCAAAAGATCGAACTCTTAACTCTTTATCCATAATATTATTGGTTGCTTTTCATCTACAGGTTTGCTTTTATATTGCTTACTGAAAGAAAGTCATCTTTTGTATTTGTTATTTATATTATTTTTCAAGTGTTCATATTATTCTTTGGTTGCAGAATCGAGACCCCCCTATATTACCTCCATTTTCCGAGATATTAAAAGGTAATATCAAGACTTAAATTAATAGTATTAACAACTTGTCTTATACAATGAAACTTTATTGATGTTTGACTACAAGTCAAGCCTTAAATGAAAAGGGAGTAGAGGTTTGCTGATTATTGACAATAAAAAGAAAAAACAATCTACTTTCATTTCTTATTACAGCATTGTACTTTGAAAAATCTATCCATTGCTTTGTATTTGGATGAGATTGTGTAGATTTTTCAAAGTACAATGCTGTAATAAGAAATGAAAGTAGATTGTTGTTGTTTCTTGTATAGAAGTATTTCAGTTTATAATGGGGTGAGAATTTTCTAGATGGAGAAGATGTTGCATCGGTGCAGAAATCAGTTAGAAAATTTCGGAATTACGGTAGTAAAAATACAGAAACATTAGGTCAACTGTTGGTGTCATTTTTACTCAAGGTAAAATCTCCGAGGCCTTGGACAAGACAGAATAGGTTGTACTGCGTTTGGCTTGCATTGGACTGACGAGATTGATGTCAATGGCTATTTTTGTCTCATTGACATCAGTCCCAATCCAATGCACACCAAACACAGGTACTATGTTTTTCTTTCTTGTCAGCACATGTTGTACTGCTTTTGGGGTGCATTGGACTGAGGGGATTGATGTCGATGGGACAAAAGTTGCAATTTTGTCCCATTGACATCAAATCCCATTAGGCAGTCCAGTGCACCCCAAAAGCAGTACAACATGTCCGCTTCGGTTGTCAAAACATGTTTTACTGCTTTTGGGGTGCACTGGATTGCCTGGTGGGATTGATTTATCAACATCAATCCCACCTGGCAGTCCCGTGCACCCCAAAAGCATTACAACCTGTGTCCGGTTGTCAGAACAGGTTGTACTACTTTTGGGGGGCAGCCAGGTTGTACTACTTTTGGGGTTGATGTTGATGAGACAAAAGTTGCAATTTTGTCTCATTGACATCAATCCCCTCAGTCCAGTGCACCCCAAAAGCAGTACAACCTGTACTGTGTTTGGGGTGCACAAGATTGATGTGATTGAAGTCAATGAGACAAATTACAGTTTTTGTCCCATTGACATGTTATGTCTTAAACGCATAAATGGTTGTTGCAGTTGGCATCTGTTGAAAAGCTTTGGCCCAAAGGTCTTTGTGCAAGTACTTATCTAGGACAATGGACTTCTAAAACTTGGGCCACTAAAATAGCAAGCATGAGTGTGAGTTCTTGTAACCTTGTTTATTTTTTATACAATGTTGTATTTTCAACAATCTACCAAATACATAACAATTTTACATGGTTATATTTTTGAAGTAAAAGCTAATAGGATGCTATCTTCAATTAATAAATAATTGAAAGTATGTTGCTATTTAGCTTTTGTATATATTTAAATATTATGAAGAATTTACAGGTGGAGGATTTCACGGATCGAACCCAAAATGTGGCAAGGGCAGTGGGGAAATCAGAGGTGGAAAAAATCTACGCTTGCATCCATTTTTCCATCCAAAGACTTTCTTTATTCATGAATGGTGAAATCCAAGAATCAGTTTTAAACGAATCTTTATTTGGCATCACCAATACATTGCACCACCATCCCCCGCTCACCACCACCACCCCAATGCAACCAAGAGCCGCCCAAAGTTGGCAACCAAGACCACAGCCAGTCGGCGGCCACTGGGGTGGAACGGGAACCCCACATCAAGCCATGGGTTCCGGTCAAGAATGGTCTGACCACCACCCACCCAAAAGAATGCGGGTGGCAGCAGACGGTGCACCCGGCTGGAGTACTTGGGGAGGACACCATCAACCAGCCAAAAGAATGGGGGCGGCAGATGGTGGTGCTCCGACACCACCACCGGGAACACAAGGTTGGGCTACTTGGGGACCACCAGCAGTGGGTGGACATGGGTGGGGTGGTGGTGGTGCTGACGAGGACCATAGGGGAAGAACGGTTCAGCATCCAAATGGTCCACCTTATCGTTTAGGCTAACTAACTAGGGTGTGCAATACAGCTAACTGGGGTTGGGTTGGGTTGGGTTGGGTTGGGTATAATGGGTTAGTTGCTCTTTTGGGTTAGTTTGTTTATAATAGAGTTTTAAATTATGGAAGCTGAAATTGGCATATTGGCACCATGTGTAACAAACCACAAAAATGGCTTTTGAATCAGAAAGTTGCGTTAACCATGTCTCCTTAGCTTTTACTATATGTTGTTTAAAATAGCTTTATTATGTCAAATTATGTTTTGCTTTATTATGTTTAGTTTATCTAAAGGATTAAAAAAAAAAACATACATACATATAAATAAATAGGTCATTTTCGAGCTCGAGTTTTTGATCTTAATCTTATTTGCTTAATTTTCATGTTGTGTTGTGTCAACCCTTTTGATAAGTTGGCTGAAATTAGTACCTGAATCTGCATATTTTGTTTCTGGTTAACGTGATGTGTAAGTTTTAGCCATTTCTATTCTAAATGCCATGTTTCAAACATGGCATGTCATTCTGGTAAAAACTGAGAAGTTAAAAATTATTTTTTTATATTGTAATGTTAATGATAATTTTTGTATATATTCTTATTTTTAGTTTAGAACTTTATATGTTTGTTAGTCGAAAACAAATGAAATTTATATGTTTGTTAAAAAGCTAAAAACAAATAAACGGACTAATTTTTTTTATTGAACATGTGGTTGAAGACATATAACCCACGAAATGAATAAGTATCCTTGTTTCCTTAGCCTTCTGGAGTATTATTTAAGCATTTTATTTCTTTATCATAACTATTTCTAAAAAATAATATCAATTATATTTTGTATATGTATAGTTTAAAAAAGTTGCCCTTCTCATTTTACTAAACATAAAAAAAAAAAAACCGGGTTATGAAAAGATAGGAAGCACTTAGTGGCGACTTGGCTTTTTTACCCATTATGTTTCATGGTTTAGGGTTGTACTCTCCGGTAAAGGTTTCCTCTTATTCTTTTGTAGCCTCCAAAGCCTAATCTTGGATGTTATATGATATGATTCTGATTAAGTTTATGCTTTGACTTGTGACTTGTCTTTATGATATAGTTCCAAGATTCAACATGACTATTAGACAAAACATATTTTAAGTGTCCTGGAGCACAACATGCTCAAGATTTTCATCTGATGTCAATTTGAAAAAAGTTCACTCTTTTGTCACACCGTGGGTCACAGTCTCCACACACTGAAGATAGTACAACAATAGGTTGTACTGGACTGATGGGATTGATGTGAATGGGACAAAAATTCAGATTGACATTAGTCCAATGCACACCAAATGCACTACAACTTGTTGATGCTACAAATGGTTGTTGTACTTATAGGTAGCATCTGTTAAAAAGCTTTGGTCCAGAGGTCTTTGTGCAAGTCTATATTCAGGAAAATATGGATATCTAAAACATGGGACACTAAAATAGCCAACTTGAGTGTGAGTTCTCAACCTTGTTTAAATTTACATTTTATTTTTAATCATGGATGTCCCACTTTTTTGTGATACATAATGATTTTGTCATTTTATCTTGGAGAGAAGTTTGCTTGATATGTTTTTTAAGGTTAAATGCAAGAAATAGCAATGTATGTTCGTTTATTTGTTTATTATAGAATTATACCTTCATTTATTCATATCATAGCATTGTACTTTTAAAAATCCACCTCTAAGTACAATGTATTAAGAAGAAAAAAAAAATACATTTATGATAGATCTTTAACAGTAAAATGCCTTAATAAGATTTGTTTATTTGAAAACACAATGTTGTAATAGATTATAGAAAGAATTATTAGTAGGATGCTATAATGAACAAATTAATAAAAGTATGTTGCTATTTTTATTTAAAATTTATGTCATGATAGAGACAGGTTTGCTTGATTTGTTTAGTATATCTTCTTACTTTCGATTTTTCCTATTACAACATTTTACTTTGTGAAATCTTTCCATGTATAAGAAAATAAAAGTACAATGTTATAACTGGGTAGATTTTTAAAATACACTTTGTTAATAAGATCTTTTTTGAAAGTACAATGCTGTAATAGAAAAAACCAAAGTCAAGGTTGTAAAAATCGCTCGACGTTAGCTAGTCGGTGGACTGGGGTTAAGGGATTAATCGGTTAGACGGAGATTAATCGGGGACCATTAATTGCTAATTTGTTGATTTTTTAAAAATTAAATATGACTAATATCATATAAAAGTTCATAAATACCACTAATATCATAACAAAATAGATTAATATGATTAATACAATACTAATCATATCTTAAATAGTTTCTATTAAGATATAACTTCTTCAAAGTGTTAAAATTTCATCAGTTTCTACTACTTCACTCATTGTATATGCAGGGATTAATCGCTAAGCGCCCTCTAATCGGTCGAGTAGCGCCTAGGGATTAATCGGAGATTAATCGGGACCTAGTCGGGATTTTTACAACACTGACCAAAGTATGATGCTATGATAAACAAATAAATGAAAACACGTTGCTATTAATTTCTTGCATTTAGCCCCTTTTTATTCAATTCTATGTCAACTTAAAGATAAATTTCTTGGTTTGTTTTTTAGGGTCAAATGCGAAAGTACAATGCTGCCACCACCACCACCACCGCCGGTGGGTGGCTACTTTGGTGGGGTGGTGCACCAAGTGGTGGATGGTGGTTGGGGTCAGTGGGGTGGGGTCCCTCCTTGAATTACTTGAATGTTGTTCAAAAGGCGAATGTATATATATGGTTCCTAGGAAGTTTTATAAAGAACATATGAAGATGTTCAAAAATTACCTAACCATTAGCATTTTTTTTATTTAAAGTAAACATAGAGGGATGGATGGATTTATCAATAGAAAAAAATTGTTTTTTCTAGAAAAAAAAAATGAAAAATTAAGTTGTCATCGAAATAATCTCATGAACTACCAAATAATCTATTTTGAACATGTTCTTATCAAAATCATCTATACCGAACAAGTATGTTATCATAAAAATCATATATAATAAAAAATTAAGAATCAAATCAAACTATAATGAACAATTAAGTTCAGAAGCAAGTCAACCAATCAAGTCAATAATCACAAGGTCGATGCATATTATGGACTCGAAGAAATTGTTATCCTAATTCCTCTCATCTGAATCTTGTAATCACAAATTCCCCCACTCTCAATTTTCAGATTCCATCAATCAGCATAAAGCTTGATAGAGACAATTATCAAGCTTTATGCTGATTGATGGAATCTGAAAATTGAGAGTGGAGGAATTTCTGAATGCAAGATTCAGAAGAGATGAATTAGGGTGAGCTATCGAGTAGTATTCGGTGTGGAGAAGAGAAGAGAATTTTTTTTATGTGTCTCATGATACATGTGAAGATTAATAATTGTTGTATTTCACTCCATGAATATAATAAAGAATACATCGGTATTTATACAGAAGAGAGGAGAACTAAAAGTTAGCGACAACATGAAACAAGCAAAACGACCCTCAAGGGTAAAATGGTCACACCAACAAAGCTCCAAAGGAATAGCAACAGCAAATAAACTATTCCCAGATAACAGCAAGGTAAGAATCAGTCCCAAAGGGTAAAATGGTCAAATCTCGTAACAAGATGTTGGGAAGGAAACCCTCAATGACAATGAACTTCTAGATGCAAACAAATAAAGGGAAAAAATAATAATTAATAAAAGCTTATGTTAACAAGATGTGGGAAATATTAATGAAAGAGAAATGAATTATAGAGTATCATGAACTTATTTTTGTAAAATATTATATTAAGAAACAGAATATACGTATCCAAACAAAAGTACGAAAGTATGTTAGGTTTTGATAAGACAACAAGTGGATTTGGTAAGACTGGGGTCAACTTGCCGTCTACAAGACTGCACACCTCGTGGCCCAGATCATGGTAAACATCGGATAGATATAAGATATAACACCACCAAGGCACCAATGCCAATAATACTTTGCTAATGGAATATATTTCTACTTTTATATATTTATAATATAATTAGTTATTAAATAAGTTTTTAAGAGAATAATATTTTTGCATAAAAAAATAGTTATAAAACATGAGAACAAACTTGTGTATAACCTACTGTTTTTATAGTTTCGTAACCCAATAAAAAAATCTCTTGTCGTGAAATATACGCTCAAAGACCTTATAATAATAATGCATACTGCCTTTTTGCTCTCAAAGTACATTCTAGTGAGTGATTGACCAGATTCCTTTCATTCCACACATGCACTATACATATAAGTACAAAGGTCTCCTACACTTGTAAGAGAATGAATCATGTGGATCACCTCATAAATAGAAACTTTTTCTTTTAAGAGAGGGAGAGAGAGAGAAACCGGTCCAACAACACCGAACCATCCGACTCGGGTTCGATCAACATGAGCCATGCGCCTGTGTACCGTTGCGGGTGTCTTCAACCGATGGGCTCTTGTAAGCCTTGCATAAGATCAACCGAACCAACATCAACGACCATCCGAGTGGTCCATTTGGACGGTGTTTTAGAAGAATTTGATGCCCCGATCACTGTCGGACAGATAATCGGAGGTTTTCCCAAACACTTCATGACCACTCCGATACAACTTATGCACGGGTTGGTCTTAATGAAGCTTGATGCCTTACTTGAACCAGGTAGGATCTACTTTGTGCTACCCTACTCAATCCTTCGGTTGAATGAGTCTTCGAAAGACTTGATGTGTCTTGCGCAGAAACTCACAAGCATAGCCAAGGCCCATCGGTCCAAGCCCAAGCCCAAGCCCACCCGTTTGGCTAGCTCACCGGAGAAAGGGTTGAGCCAGGGTTCGAACCCATGCCTTGATGACTCCTCAAGAGACTTAAGTCTTGCAAAGGAGTTCACAAGCATAGTGAGGGACCATCGGTCCAAGCCCAATCGCACCCTGTCGGGTAGCCCACAAGAGACAAGGTCGAGTCGGCGTTCAAACCCACGAAACAATGATCAACGCTCAAGAGACTTGATTCGTCTTGCGAATAAGCTGAGCAGCTTAGCTAAAGCCGCTTGGTCCAAGCCCAAGCCTAGGCCGAGGCCTACGCCTAGGCCCAGGCCGAGGCCTACCAATTTGGCTAACTCACAAGAGAGAGGATCGAGTCAGGGTTCGGAGAACCCTAGCACTACCGAAGAAAATAGTAATATCAATAGGTCGACCAAGATGTTGTCGTGGAAGCCACTTTTAGCTACAATTAGAGAGATATCCTTTAATCGAAGAGAGTCTGATTTATCCTTTAATCGAAGAGATTCTGATTTAAGAGATTAGTAGTTTGAGATTGATGTTTGGTTGGTTTGTAAAAATGTTTGATTGATTGTACGGTTTTTCTTCTATTGAAGAAAATTACAATGTTTTTTTTACTGTAGAATCTGCTTTAATATTTTTCAAGGAATTTTGAAAATCACACATGAAGGGCAACAATATTATTTGATGGTATTGTTACTGTTATCATAAGTAGCTCATATCAATTTAGTCCACAAGTTTCATTAATACTTGAACTATATGATAAATCAAACATGCAACTATAGTTTCTATTAATACTTGAACTAATGTTATCATTTGGGAAACTTTTTATCCCTTTTTCTATTGTCATTCCTCCTGTAATGCATAGGATTCACTAATTTACTACGAGTGAATCTTAACAAATCCAACTAAATAGTTATTTATAAGGCCATTCCAACTCACATCTTGACGTTTTTGTCCGTCAAGGCTTATTTTAACTGTTAACTTATTTAGGATAAACTAATTTTTTTTTTCTTGATAAGACAAAATATGTAATAATAAAAATCATCAATTGGACGTTTGTGAATCATATCATCACATGGGCCATTAAATAATGTGTTAATTTTCTCCTCACATGATTCAAATTGGCTTTAGGGATTTACATTATTTTATTACTTTGATAATTTTTTTGTGTCATTATTTATTTCAACTACGAAATAAATATAAAATTTTGTGTGAGATGTAAAAAATACGACGTCATGTCGTGTTCAAGATTCAACATGAAATAAACATGATATTAATATGTGTTTGTCGTGCTGTCGTTTTGTAAGATTAAATTCGAAATAAATAAATAAATAAATAAATAAATAAATAAATGTTTATTTTATTTTATCATTTTTCGTGTTTGTTGTGTTGGTCGTTTTTATCGTGTTTTTGATAGGGTTGTTTTCGTGTTAGTAAAACAAAACACGACATCATGCCGCGTTATGTTCATGTTATATAAAAATTGTCATGTCGTGTCGTGTCACTAAAAATGACACAGGTGTCTGATTTGCCACCCCTAATCGAACCATGAAGTAGATACAACTTCCTAAAATTTGTTATTGTTGCTATCTCCTCTATCATCAACCTACATTCAACCTCGATTCAACACAACCCGATCATTTAGACTGAGTTTCAACAGTTAGGTATTCCAGAATTATAGATCGGCATTCAGGCATCGCATACAACATGCAGCATGTCATATGCCTGCAACTGCTTCATGGATCTCTCCTTGGTCGGATAGATTCTTCTTTTTGATAATCTCTTTAAAAAGGAATTGGAATGACAATTATGTGTACATTCCAACACATCTCACTCATAAGGTTTTGACGATCACTTAGGTGCAGTGGCGAATCTATAACAAAATATCACGTGGTTCCCAAATTATGTGGAGCCGATAAAAAAAAAATCAACAACACTTGTGAGGGGTCGGGTCGGGTCGGATCGTGTACGATTTAATGAAACATAACTGAAAAAACCCATCAGGCACCACCAATTAAAATTTTAAAAAACCGATTAAAATATAATTGAAAAAACCGAACGATTTAATGAAAAACAAGTTGATTATTAGTGCATTGATACCTTATTGTTTGATAAAAACTATATATTATATTTAATCCTATATATTTAACAGCACAAATGCCCCATGTAACTTATTTTTTTCTTATTTTAAAATGGTTTTTTAAGACATTTAAAAAAAAACAAACTCAATGTAGGTCCTTTATTTTTTCTAAAGTGGTTCCTAATTTTTGTAGTATATATATTATAAATGAAATACAAATCTTAGGTAGGTCCTGGGACATACCTTCATACTTTTTAAATACGCCCCTGCTTAGGTGTTGTTTGTTTTTTCTAAAAAATCACTTCTGACCACTTATGTTGCGCCGCACAACACTTGGTCTTTCACAACTGTTTGTTTTTCAGAAGACTTCTAATTTAAAAACTGTTGCGCATGTGCTGCGTGGCGCAACATTTGACCCTCTGCTTCAAACCTCTTCACACTTTACTTTAACCTATTGCAGCAGTTTGCAGATGTTAAAAAACAAACATACTTTTTATTACATGCTACAACTGTTTGATCCCCTTCTTCGGGTTGCAGAGGTGGTCCGCAGACTTCAGACATTTTCGCTTTGAAAAAAAAAACGGCACCTTAGTGTGCACGGTTGTGACTTATTTTTGGGAGTAGTAATAAAAGTACCCCAACTCCGTGGACTCATGGAGTGTGGTTTCAGAATGGTGCGGGTTAGGTGGATTAACTACCAGAACCTGCTCCTAGTTTCTATCTATGTATGCTTCATAACTTGTACCTATATTGTTTTAATATTTGTATATTAGGAGTAAAAAAGATGAAGGTGAGAAGAGAGAGAAATTGATGTGACAACTATGTGACAAGAAGGTTGGGAGGGAATGACTTCAGAAATATATCATCACACGCACTAAGAACAAGGAAAAAAATTCAAAAATTCTCATCAATTTCGAAATTTTCGAACACTCTTTGCTAAGAATAAAAGCCCTTTGGAAATAATAATTTAGTTTGAAATTACCAAAAAAAAAAAACAATTTACGAAATTGCTTTATGTCAGAAAACAAATTCTTAAAATCTAAGTGACTTTGAAAATGCTAACACGAGTTCGAAAAAAGTTATTTTCAAAATTACTGTACGCCTTGTACTCGATTTCAAAAACCAACGGTCTTGTCTAGATTTTTAATTTCCAAATGTTATTCGAAATTTACAGGTCATCTTCAAAATATCTCATTTATGAAGAACCCTTTTGTCGAATTACGAATAAAGTTTTGGCAAACCATAGTCATATGTTGATATTTCCATAATGCGTCGTTGCAATGTAAGATATGTGTTTCTTTTATGGTTAACGAGGTAAATATCCATAATATCTTTAATGGAGCTAGGTTCAAATGTGTAGCACCTGGTTCCTGGTATGTAAATTTATCTAAGTATTTTGCATTTTTAGCCTTGGACTCGGCGAGTTGTAGGCCCGACTCGCCGAGTAAAGCCGGGACATGGAACACGTTTAAGTTGGCGACTCGGCGAGTCCATATTCTGGACTCGGCGAGTCCCCG